ATATGAGCTATAATTTATAAAGGCTATTCACATGCACAGAGATTGAATCCCAGGAGCTCTAATGCATCGACTTCAAATGATGAATGCAGCCAAGGAAAACGTGAAGAATAGAAAAGTGGATAATAACAGGTAAGACAAATAAAAGTATCCTAAACATTTACCTGTCAAACGTTGGTCAGGAGAAGGTGACTGGTTTTATTAAAAATAATTTATTTTAGGAAAAATATTGTTATAATTATTGTACTTAAGACTGATAGCACATACAGAACAAATAACAAAAAACAAAACAAAAAAAACATTGGAGAAACAAGCGAGTGACGATCAAATCATAGAATCAAATGCGGCTAAGCGAGTGACGTCATTCCTTATGTACGCGGTTTGTATCACAGTCTATGGTTTGTATCCATGGCAACGCTCAGCTGGGTAGCGTAGTGACAGTTAACGGTCCTTCTCAGACGCAGCCTTGTGTTTCCTCTGTCCGTCGTCTGTCTAAAAGGTATTTTTAATTATATTATTATAAATTAGTCACCATAACCACTGTCCATCTTCAAATTATATGAAAATGTTACCTTTTAAAACGTTTGCTGAAGATGTCCGCAATGTACCGCTGATAACCGTTATATGCTAATATGAGTAGCAGCTACGAAGCTAACAGCTGAAAATGAGACAACATTTCACATATTGATAAAATCATAATGGAATATGTTCATTTTTGTTGTTTTAGGTAACGTTAGACGCCGAAGGGGGAGAGCCATCGGATTAATCCCACAGCTGACCGACAAACACACACACACACACACAGCTGCCAGCGCATTTGAAGACACACACACACGGAAATGCCACCTTTACAATTGTTTTAAATAAATAATGTACTTTGTACCTTACACCGCGTCTGTTTTCTTTGGTTAGCCAGAAGTAAAATAAAATAAAATGATATTCAGGGGACTAAACGCGAAAGTCCCATAAACGTCCCGGATGGCCGCTGGTGGTCCTGGGAACGTCCTCTTGAACGTCCGGAGGACGTCTTCGCGAATGTCCGCGGGACATCAAGCGGACTCCACATGGGGACGTTCGGGGGGACGTTCGCACCCCAGCTAACATAGGTCCAGCGGGCCACCGGCGGCCCACTGGTGGCAAAGTTGGCGGCCCACTAGCGGCCGCCGCCGGTGGATCGCTGGCGTTTTGCTCATCGTTATTCTAGCGGACCACCAGCGGCGGCCGCCGCTGTCCCGACGGTGGTCCGCTACCGAGCCGCTGGTTCATAATGAGGGTTTTCTGGCGGACCACGGTCGGTCCACGAGTCATTTTATGATTTTTTTTTTTTTCATTACTGGATAATAATAAATAATAGTTATATTAGATCCAATTTAGGCAAATAATAATCAAAAACAAAGTACACAACTGCTGATAGCCATTGTAAATTTACATTTTATTGGATAGAAGGCACAAATGCATAACATACAAAATAAACACATGGAAATAAACATAAAATAACATATACATATCTATCTATCTATCTATAAACCATATAACCATTATGATGCATTCAAAACATGTACTTTTGTTAAAATATCAATAAATAAATTATATTGTTTAACACTTTACTATACATACGAAATATAATAATATTGTTTATATTATTTATTAACAGGATACAGAAAATCATAAGATTATGTTATAGTACATATTATTTAATATTGTTTAACACTGTACAAAACTATAAAACACACATAAGTATATACATATATACATAATAAGGGTCTATATATATATATATATATATATATACGTATATATATATATATATATATGTGCAGAAGTCTTAGGCACACTATAGTATTTTCGCCTCAAAGAAAAGGTTTTAAGCCAGTTATTTATATATTTTGTTGTAGTGTCTCAGTAGAAAAAATATCAGTTTACATTTCCAGACATTAATTGTAATAATCCAGTGAAATTTTTGAATGCACAAGGATTCTGACAACAGCCAATGCTCCACACGGCGGTCGGATCTCACCATCATCGAGTGCATCTGAAATTATATGAAGAAACAGAAAAAACAGAGACTAAGACCAGAAGAACTGCGGCAACGTCTCGAAGGTAGTGCCTGCCTGCAAAGCTACAGTACTGTGAAAAAACACTTGTGTAAAAATGCTGTAAATGAGAATATTTCCAAAAATAATGTCATAATCATAAATAGATTTTATTTATCAATTCACTTTTATTAGTTAACTATTATTAACTGTTATTAATCAAATCAATAGGTGTTTAGTACCCTTTACGTTTAAAACAGCTTTTGTCCAGGTATTGCACATAGTTTTTAGTTTTGCAGGTTTTTTCATGCATCTTTGGAAACGTTGCCGCAGTTCTTCTGGTCTTAGTCTCTGTTTTTTCTGTTTCTTCATATAATTTCAGATGCACTCGATGATGGTGAGATCCGACCTCCGTGTGGAGCATTGGCTGTTGTCAGAATCCTTGTGCATTCAAAAATTTCACTGGATTATTACAATTAATGTCTGGAAATGTAAACTGATATTTCCTACTGAGACACTACATCAAAATATATAAATAACTGGCTTATAACCATTTTTTTTGAGGCGAAAATACTAGTGTGCCTAAGACTTCTGCACAGTACTGTATAGGTGGTGTAACGGGGTGTAAGGGGTGTAACGGTTCACAATTCACGGTTCGGTATGTTTTCTATACAGCAAAAAGAAAGAAAGAAGAAAGAGAAATTTTGCCAGAGAAATTTCCTTGATTTAATTTTTTTATTATATTTTTCTTAAAACTAACATCATAAAGTATGCTTTTTTTTTACTTTGAGCAAAGATGGAGTTATACTTCAACTTTTCTTAGGAGCATATAAAACAAAACCACTCCTTGGACAAAATTAAATGTAATATTGTAGTAGTTATACAGAAAGGTTTATTTTAGTTCAGATTAAAGGAGTAGTTCACTTAAAAAAAAAAAACTACTTTTGCTGATAATTTACTCACCCCTATGTCATCCAAGATGTCCATGTCATTCTTTCGTCAGTCGAAAAGAAATTAAGGTTTTTGATGAAAACATTCCAGGATTTTCTCCATATAATGGATTTCAATGGGGTCCAAACAGTTCAAGGTCCAAATGAGAGTTTCAGTGCAGCTTTAAAGGACTTTAAACAACACCAGACGATGAATAAGGGTCTTATCAAGCAAAACGAGCAGTCCTTTAAAAAATAAATAAAAAAGTTTAAGTTTTATAAGCACAAATGCTCGTCTTGTTCTGTTCTGTGATGCGTGTTCGTGACTCTCCTGTTCAAACTCGTTCATCAAAATGAACAAATCTTTTTTCGAGTCATGACTCGAAGGGTCCTAGATAAGACCCTTATTCATCATCTGGTGTCGTTTAAAGCCCTTTGAACAGTTTGCACTGAAAGTTTCTTTTGGACCTTGAACCGTTTGGACCCCATTGAAGTCCATTATATGGAGAAAATCCTGGAATGTTTTCTTCAAAAACCTTAATTTCTTTTCGACTGAAGACAGAAAGACGTGGACATCTTGGATGACATGGGGGTGAGTAAATTATCAGCAAAAGTTTTTTTTAAAAGTGAACTACTCCTTTAACATTTGAGGGCAGCAATTGTATTCATAATGTCAAAATAAAACCGACGTGATGTTACTTGAAAGCATTATTGCCTACAATTCCTGCCAAACTCCCAAGGTTACAGTGAGTGTTACTACAGTAAACCCATGGTGAATGTTGCTGATCTTTGGACACTGATTAGTTCATTCATGGCACATGTTTCTCTTCCTGGTTTTCACGTCAGCACTGTTTGATGTGAATGTTTCTCACTAGATCTCGCAGCGATGTTATTTCTTCAATAGCAAATTCAAATGCTTTCTTTACTGGATGTCTACACGCTGTGCAGTGACCGTGCTGGGGTGCGTTCAACGAGTCTGTGTTTCCCCAAAACAATCGTTCCAACAAACATTCGTAAACAGCATTGCAAAGTTGTGGCATTGTTTCTAAATTTCATGACATGTGGACGTAATAAATGCTTATCTTGATCAAAATAAGCAAGCTGACATTCAGTACAACCGGTGCCTGTGATTTAGAATACATTCAAATGTAATTTACGTCTTTTAGTTTGTAAAAAGATTTAAAGTACCGTGTTTGAAGAGTGCGCATATGTAAACGAGCTCTAGTGTGAAAGATTGAGTCTATGATTGAGTCTGGTAATAAAGCAAAATAACTGAGAACAATTAGAAATAGTCCTCAGATGACATGTCTGTAATTTATATTAAAAAATCTAGCATTAATTTGATCGCAATCAGTTTCATTAAAATAAGTTATTACTCCACCACGTGCGAGACGTCAAAAACCAACGTGGTCGAACGATACTTTGCGACAATATGGTTTTGTGAAACAGTCGTGACTAGTAGTTGATTTCTCCAACGATGCATCGTACTATGGTTGCGAAGCAGCGAGTAACCTAGTTGTACGGGAAACACACCTCTGCTCCATTAAGATCGTCTCGCACTGCATTGGTCCAAACTGATAAACAGTCCGTCAACCACACAATAACAAGTAGCTCAGGGGTGTGTTTCCCGTGCAACGATATAACTCGCTGTCTTATTACCATAGTACAATGCATCGTTCAACTAATCAACTAGCGAGTCAGGACTGTTTCCGAAACCATATTGTCGCCTAGTGGTGTTCAACCACATTGGTTTATGACGTTACGCACGTGGTGGAGTAATCACTAATTTTAATGAAACCGTTTGAGATCTAATTAATGCTAGATGTTTTGATATAAATTACAGACATGTCATCTGAGGAATATTTATAATTTTTCTCAGTTATTTTGCTTTATTTCCAGATTCAATCATAGACTCGTTCTTAGGCTACATAGTAGAGCACATTCACACATGCACAGTCTTCAAAAACGATGCTTTAAATATTTTGACAAACTTCAAGATGTCAAACACATTTGTATGTATTTTAAATAAAAGGCACAGGTTGTACTGAATGTCAGCTTGCTTATTTTGCTCAAGATAAGGATTTATTACGTCCACATCTCATGCAATCTAGAAATTATGCCTCGCTCTAACCACAGCACGAGAGCTGTCATTCCAACCAAACAACTCTGCGATACTGTTTGGGAATATTCATTGGAACGATGGTTTCGGGAAACACAGACTCGTTGAACTATGCTGATAACGACGGAACTTGTGATCATAGTTGGCTACCAATGCTATCAGGAAACGCACCACCGTTTCATTCCGCTTACATTACATTTGCCATTTGATGTTGGGCAATGTTGTGGTGGTCATGCCAGCGTCTCTTACATTATGAGCGCGCTTGCCATGCACGACTTGCCTACATTTCAAATAGCAAAATTTTGGTTGGCAGGAAAAATGTTCCAACGAACCGTTTGGCTTAAAAATGCTTACCGAAAGCCTCGTACCGAATGGTTCAATAATACTAATACGTGCAGCGTTACACACCCTAATATATATATTAAACATTTTAATTTTAACTTTTAAAAAACTAAATGCATTTGAACCCCTTCAGTTTTCCCGTCGTTGTTTCCTGCCCCCTTCTCTGTCAGCAGCTCCCTTCAAACACCGCAAAACCACTTCCTGGAGGCTCCCTTCTGTTGTCTTTCTTGTAACCCATTCAAGGTACTTTCTTATAGCTCCTGAAATCCCAGAAAATGTGTAATTAGTTTACACAGTATCAGTCAAAAGAAACATTACAAAACATAAAATTTACACAAGTTCCTCTGTTCGTGTATTGTGGGAAATATGTTTAAGGCTAAAGTCTATCATACGTACATTTCATCGGGTGTCACAAATTATAATTCAATTTAATATATAATTCAATCCCCATTCAATTTAAAATTAGGGTTAGGTTAAATGCTCAAAATTAGGGATGCGCATTATTGAAAAACTTCAATAGAATATTTTGTTTTTCTGCTATATATATATATATATATATAGCGATATAAAAACAAATTTCAACAGATTATTCATTTACTACTTATAGGAGTGAATCATAGATAAATGCAATAGAAGGAAAAATAAGCAATACATTGTTTTTCAAGAAAAGATAAATTATCAGGTAGGCTACAGAAATTGAATTAATCGAATGTAAAATAAGTCTTAACGGAGTTACAGCCTCTCCCTATCCTACTCATACAAAATTACAAAGAACCATCTGAACGCATGTTGTATGAAGACTGTTTAAACACCACTCCAAATCCTCACAGAATTTGCAAGACAATGTCTATAATAGACAGTGTGTGTTATTTCTTTAGTACCGTCAGCAGGATCTGTTATCGGTTCGATAACATTTAATGTTTAATACCGGGTTTCAGTACCCATCCCTACACATGGGTGAGTTGGGATGGGCCTGTTGTGTTCTGTCTCTTGGTTTGTGATAGTGATATAGCTATTGTGAAACTCACCTTCCGCCAAGTACTGAGTGTGGATGGCATCAAGATCTTGTCCTGAAGAATCACAGGGTCAAACGATTATATCTCATCTGGTGACAAGAACATAGCCATACCTTAAGAACTCTAATGATATCTTTACCCCCTGATATTGCCTTGCAAATATAAATTCAAACATTTTAAAGGCTAAGAGTATGAGCCATGAGTAAACTGGACAGATATCTGTGAAAAATAACTTGTGTACCTAAAGTTGTCGACCCCCTGAATTCAGCATTTAAAAGTAAAAAGAATTTCATTATTTATCAGTAAAAAATCCATAAAAATAAATAAATACCTTTGAGTTGGATAGTATGGTGTCTGTATCATTGGCCAACGTATTTCAAAACACACCTAAAGAAATAAAATAAAAATACGAATGACCATGATATCCTGTTATCCTGTTAAATTGATGGGCTCTATGCACGGCGACGGCGGTATTTCCACTTAAAGGGTTAGTTCACCCAAAAATGAAAATTCTGTCAGTATTTACTCACCCTCATGTTGTTCCAAACCTCTGTGTGTTGATTTGTTCCACTGAACACAAAGTAAGATATTTGGAAGAATGTTTTAATCAAACAGATCTCATTCCCCATTGACTACCATAGCATGTATTTATTCCTACTATGGTAGTCAATGGGGAATGAGATCTGTTAGATTAAAACATTCTTCCAAATATCTTCCTTTGTGTTCAGCAAAAGAAATAAACACATAGAGGTTTGGAACAACATGAGGGTGAGTAAATACTGACAGAATTTTCATTTTTGGGTGAACTAACCCTTTAAGTTCTAAGGACGCTGGATTACTTCCGCCGATCGTAGAGTCCAATGCTATACCGAGAATTTATACTAGATTTTATTCTCTATGGTTATACTAAAGAAATGTTAATCACAAAAACAGACACCCCTCATTGTGTTTATGCTTCTTTTTTTAATTATATTAAATAAGCATAACTACAAAGTATATATAAAATTACATCTAGACGTATTAAATTTCGTTTCAAAGACGGGAGGACAGTAAATTTTGAAGATTCTGCCACAATCTCGTTTTCCTCCGCTTTAAATCTCCCCAACTGGAAACCGAAGAGCAGCCTTGCGTCAAATGCAGAACTTATGCGTGCATGTAGCCCATTTTTATGACTATGACCATTATAACATGATATTTGCTGTCTATTATTTAGCTGATTATTTAGCCTACAGGCTTCTCAAGGACAATCTCACTGAAAAAAAAACTGGGGTTAAGTATGAGACTTCTTTCAAAAGCATAAATCCTATAGAACCAACTTTTGAACAGTAGTGCACAGTATGTTTGAGGTTTTGCTTACTAGTAGAGTTCATAGCTGTGGATATTGTCTTAGACAGGGGGTTCAGCAGGACACCAGCATGATCTCCTCTCCACCAGTAAGCTGGTGTGTGGTGAGCGTTCTGGCGCAATATAGGTGCCGTCGCATCATCCAGGTGGATGCTGCACATTGGTGGTGGTTGAGGAGATTCCCCCTTCTATGTGAAGCGTTTTGAGTGTCTAGAAAGGCGCTATATAAATGTAATGAATTATTAATATTCATGATGATCTTAGAAAATCACATGTGTCACAGAGCCATCAATGTTACATAGGATTTACAATAGAACATAGGGTTTATTACAAGGAAGCAAGCTAACTTTAGAGCAGAAATGAAATGCAGAAAAGAGAAAGTATACATATATATTATAAAATAAATGCATATGACATTACTATCATGATTAAACAGAATCCTCCTTATATTGTGGAGGTTTTTTCTCGTGAAATCACCTTTTTTTATATTTATAACGTTAAGTGACGTCACTGATTAATAACATCGTATTTTTGGCTAAATAAATTAGCTTACTTCCAATCACCCATTGATAAATTACTAGCAAAACAAAACTATCAAAAATTGTTCTCTACATGGGGTTAAAAATCCAAAATATAAGAGCTTTAGTGTAACGTAACTTAACGTTAACTTAGCTGCTACCTCTTTTGAAAACGGTTGGGATGCTAACGGACTTTTTCGAAGACACAAAACCATTTATATAAGGTAAATATTCAACAGAAACGTATCAATTACACGTAAGAAAGGTGTCATTAACGTTTGTATGTATTATTTGTGTGATTTTGTTAACTTAACTTACCTGAAAGCAGTGAAAACAGCGAGAGACGCTAGTTTTGCTGTGTACCAGTTGATGACGTTTTCTGTTTCCATCTGCTCGCGCAACGCGCGCGCTCCTCTCTTTGAATGCGACTCGAATGTTTACGCGCACGCGCATCAAAACACAAGGCACGCACGCAGCATTTAAATATACATCTAGAATTATAACATAACTTAATTTATTAACAAAAAATAATTATATAACAAAAATAATGAATGAAATAATCAGAGAAATAATGTTTCCTCTGTAGGCCTATTAGAAAAATAAATATATAAATAATAATACTATAATGCCTCCAAATAGCTCTCACAAACTTATAAAAACGAATTAACAAAATATATTTAAATCTTTAGTGTTCTTCCTCTTTATCCTATTTTTCTTCCTCATCCTCAATTGTTTGTCCATCTATATTTTGCTGTAGAGCAGTTTTTTTGAAAACCAGGACATGTTTTATGCACTTTATAAAAA